GGTTGCGTAAGCTGCCATCATGGATTTCACCAGCTTCAGCTGGTTTAGTCCCAAGAAGAAACTTCTGACCACAGACATCCTGTTTCCTAAAAATAAGCAGAGTTAAAGGTGAGTAGGAATTCAGCCATGTCACGTAGGCACTGCAGTGGGCAACAATATCTGGGTAGGGGTCCAGGTCAGTCATGTAGGCAGTGCAATAGGTAACAGTCACAGAAATACCTGTGAAAAGCTGTCCTTTTGTCAGGGAGTTTAGCATGTGTAGAGGAAGTAAACTTCAACTGCAAATAGGCTTTCTTTGAGACCTTCTTATCTGCTTTATCTGGATCCAGATAAGATTAACTCATAGGAAAAGGAAACAAAAGGTCCCATACTTCTAAAGATCTGACAGAAAAACTCTTTTGTGTTTTGTGTGTGTGTGTGTGTGAGATAGAGTCTTACTCTGTCACCCAGGCTGGAGTGTGCAGTAGCGCAATCTTGGCTCACTACAACCTCTGCCTCCCAGGTTCAAGCAATTCTCATGACTCAGCCTCCCAAGTAGCTGGGATTACAGGTGCCCACCACCACACCCGGCTAATTTTTGTATTTTTAATAGAGATGGGGTTTTGCCATGTTGGCCAGGCTGGTCTTGAGCTCCTGACCTCAAATGATCTGCCCACCTCTGCCTCCCAAAGTGCTGGGATTACAGGCATGAGCCACCACATCTGGTGGAGGGCTGCTTCTTGAGAGACTTCATTTGCATCACAACACAGTCATTGCTCACCATGTCTTTCCTCCCCTCAACCTCCCAAAACCTGTGGCCACCACCCCCTGAGAACTCCAAGCCACTAGTCCTTTATGTGCTGCATATAAACTTCAACCATATGGCCTTCTTTGAGGCTTTTTTTTTTAGACAGAGTTTTGCTTTTGTCGCCCAGGCTGGAGGGCAGTGGCATGATCTCAGCTCACCTCAACATCTGCCTCCCAGGTTCAAGTGATTCTCCTGCCTCAGTCTCCCTACAGGTGCCCACCACCACACCCGGCTAATTTTTGTATTTTTAATAGAGATGGGGTTTGCCATGTTGGCCAGGCTGGTCTTGAGCTCCTGACCTCAAATGATCTGCCCACCTCTGCCTCCCAAAGTGCTGGGATTACAGGCATGAGTCACCACATCTGGTGGAGGGCTGCTTCTTGAGAGACTTCATTTGCATCACAACACAGTCATTGCTCACCATGTCTTTCCTCCCCTCAACCTCCCAAAACCTGTGGCCACCACCCCCTGAGAACTCCAAGCCACTAGTCCTTTATGTGCTGCATATAACCAACCATATGGCCTTCTTTGAGGCTTTTTTTTTTTTAGACAGAGTTTTGCTTTTGTCGCCCAGGCTGGAGCGCAGTGGCATGATCTCAGCTCACCTCAACATCTGCCTCCCAGGTTCAAGTGATTCTCCTGCCTCAGTCTCCAGAGTAGCTGGAATTACAGGCATGTGCCACCACATCCAGCTAGTTTTGTATTTTTAGTACAGACGGGGTTTCTCCATGTTGGTCAGTCTTGTCTCGAATGTCTAACCTCAGGTGATCGTGATCCACCCGCTTCAGCCTCCCAAAGTGCTGGCATTATAGGTACACCTACTGTGCCCAGCCTGAGGCTCATATTTTTATGTGACTCTGTATTAGCTGTGGTCTTAGTCAGGGTTCTCTAGAGAGACAGAACTAATAGGATAGATATATAAAGGAGTTTATTAAGTATTAACTTACACAATCGCAAGGTCCCACAATATGGACCAATATGCTGTCTGCAAGCTTACGGAGCAGGAGAGTCAGTTCAAATCTCAAAACTGAAGAACTTGGAGTCTGATGTTCCAGGGCAAGAAGCATCCAGCGCAGGAGAAAGATGTAGGCTGGCAGGATAGGCCAGTCTTGCATGTTTGTGTTTTTCTGCCTGCTATTTATATTCATCGGCAGCAGACTACATTGTGCCCACCAGATTGAGGGTAGGTCTGCCTTCCCCAGCCCATTGACTCAAATGTTAATCTCCTTTGGCAACACCCTCACAGACACTCCCAGGATCAATACTTTCATCCTTCAATCCAATCAAGTTTGTGAGAAACAAATTCACCTGTCTAAACCCAAACAATGAACTCAGAGACCAGGAGAACAGTGAAAGTGAGACTTTTAATGACGGTCTTGCAAGATCGGGTGTGTGGCATGCAGGCACACCCAGCACAGTTTCAACAAGCAATTTATGCCCTAGTGCACAGGTTCCTCCCCAGTTCCTCATAGCCTGAGTAGTAGTGGGTCACAATCTTCCCAGACATCACCTATTGATTGTTCTTCAAGTATATTCTTTAGGGTCTTTCTGCTGCATTTTATTGCAGCCCACAATGCATTATGAATGTCTCAGGACTTTTCAAACATTTGACTTATGGCCCTGGTGGTTCCACTTAGCTGACAAGAACGGGTACAATTATCTATGTTGCAAGCTAGCTTAAACTAAATTTCTTGGTGGAGTAGGGAGGGGGTACATAAGGGGGACCCCTCTGATAGACACCTGGCCGCTGGGTGAAAGGGAGAGAAGGAAGGTGGAGGGGTGGCTCAGTACATTCTGCTTCTTTATCTCTTTATTTCCAGGTAGCCTGCCTCAACCTATACCAAGCCACTTAGAATTGAAAATAGACCATCACATATAGGTTATTTCCTACAATTCCCTCCTTTTTCTTTTTCTTTGGTGTTTTTGAGATGGAGTCTTGCTCTGTCGCCCAGGCTGGAGTGCAATGGCGCAATCTCGGCTCACTGCAAGCTCCGCCTCCCGGGTTCATGCCATTCCCCTGCCTCAGCCTCCCGAGTAGCTGGGATTACAGGCGCGCTGTAATTTTTGTATTTTTAGTAGAGATGAGGTTTCATCATGTTGGCCAGAGTGGTCTTGAACTCCTAACCTCAGTGATCCACCCGCTTCAGCCTCCCAAAATGCCGGGAATATAGGCGTGAACCACCGTGCCAAACCAGAAGTTGTTTACTTTCTTCCTCATAGGAGGAGGAGCTTATTTGGTTTCTAATCATAGTAGGTTATTTTGTTGGAACATCAGGGGCATCTGTTTACTGATAGCTGTTTTAATAAACCGTAGTGTTATATACATATATATAACATATATATTATATATAGTAGTAGTGTTAAACCCCTTACACAAGTAATGACGCAGCATCTTATGTCAATGACAGAATCTGATAATTTGGAAGAGTATACTGTAGAAGATACATACTTCACTTTTTCTTTTTTTGGATGGAGTCTCACTCTGTCGCCCAGGTTGTAGTGCAGTGGCGCCATCTCGGCTCACTGCAACCACCGACTCCTGCGTTCAAGCAATTCTCTTGCCTCAGCCTCCTAAGTAGCTGGGATTACAGGCGCCCACCACCACGCCCGCCCAATTTTTGTATTTTTAGTAGAGACAGCGTTTCACCATGTTGGCCAGGCTGGTCTTGAACTCCTAACCTCAGGTTATCCACCCACCTTGGCCTCCCAAAGTGCTGGTATTACAGGCGTGAGCCACCACGCCCGACCCATAACACTATTGAAACACACTTTTTTTGTGTACAGAAGAAAAAAATTGTACAGTTAATAGTGTCAGAGACGGTGAAAATATGAAACAAGAACTGCTTACAGGACAGGAGCACTCAGCGGACCAACCCGCTGTAGGAGCCGGGGGAAGTGACTTATGCTTCTCCCTTCTTTCCCTCCTGTCCCTGCCCCTTGTCTCCTGCAAAGAAGCGGATACTGTGTCCTGTGGAGGTCCCCTTTGGCGGCCAACTGAAAGCCCGTGCACCCTTCTTCAAATAATGGCTTTCAATCAGCAGACTAGAATGTTTAGGATTACAAAGGAAACCGATTCCTTTCAAACCTGGTTATCTTTGCGGTGTGGCACCGTGTGCACATCTTGGTTAAAACGCGTTAAAGGCCACTGCACTCCACCCTGGAGATAAGAGGTGACTGTGTCTCAAAAAAACAAAAACAGTCTTCCCTCCTCCCAAAAGCATTAGACATCAAGGCTGGTGGGAATGTCTGTTCTCTTGAAAGTTCAATATCATTATTCAATAGTTTAAATTCACTGTAGTTTCAACCTATTGGTATGGAAAGAGTTTTGAATTGTACTGATTTTTTCTATCCTCTTTCTGAAATGCATGCTAATCGCGTTTGGACCTTGGACATTTACCTTCCTGAACTTTTCTCTCCTGTTTTTACATTCTTATTTTGGTTCCTGGGAAATATTCTTGACATTATCTTCAACTTAATTTTTGTTCTTGCTTCTACTATTTTAGTTTAATTTCCAAGTATTTTGATGTTGAACTTTCAAGAGAACAGACATCGCTGCCAGCCTTGACGTCTAATGCTTTGGGGGCGAGGGGGGAATGTTTTTGTTTTTTTGATACTCAGTCACCTCTTGTCGCCCAGGGTGGAGTGCAGTGGCCTTTCATGCGTTTTAACGAAGATATGCACACAGTGCCACATCGCAAAGATAACCAGGTTTGAAAGGAATTCGTTTCCTTTGTATTCCTAAACGTTCTAGTGTGCTCATTGAAAGCTATTATTTGAAGAAGGGTGCACGGGCTTCCAACTGGCCGCCAAAGGGGACCTCCACAGGACACAGATTAAACACCCGCTTCTTTGGGGAGACGAGGGGCGGGGACAGGAGGAAAAGAAAGAAGAGGCATAAGTCACCTTCCCCGGCTCCGGCAGCGGGTTGGTCCGCTGAGTGACGAAGGATGAAGCGGAAGAAAAGACGGGGACGGGAAAGCGCTGTCGGTGACATCATGGAGAGGGCGATTTCTATGTAGATGAGGCAGCGCAGGGGCTGCTGCTTCCCCACCTGGTGCTTCGCCACGAAGGAGTTCCCGTGCTGTGGGAGCGGGTTCAGGACCGCTGGTCAGACCTGAGAGTCCTAGTTGTCTGTCAAGGCTGGAAGGACTCGGGAGTGCGCGGGGCAAGTGACCGTGCGTGTAAAAGGGGAGACTATGAGGCTGTGGCGGGGCGGAGGTGGCAGATCTCATACTTACCTGGCAGGGGAGATACCATGATCACGAAGGTGGTTTTCCCAGGGCGAGGCTTATCCATTGCACTCCGGATGTGCTGACCCCTGCGATTTCCCCAAATGTGGGAAACTCGACTGCATAATTTGTGGTAGTGGGGGACTGCGTTCGCGCTTTCCCCTGAATTTTGCAGTTCAAAAGAATAGGTGGTGTACCAAAGTTTGCGTTTTGTGTGGTGTGTAATCTTGTGTTTTCTGTGGCGTGTAAATGTTATCTTACCGTGTAAGGTTAGAGAATGATTAGTAACATGTCGATTCTCTGTCAGAGGACAAATGAAAAAGGTCAGCCGTTGCAACATAAGGTAACTACCGTGAAGGCCGCACAGTTCTTCCCTTTCTATGCGGGGATGCTTTCTGCGGAGATTGGTCCATGGTCTCCAGCGTCTTGGGTTCTCACGATCTGTAAAAATCTTCGTGTTGTTCCCTAACCCCCAGTCACCTTTTATACAGCTTCTGCTTCTAACTGCAGCCCCCACAGTAGTTTGTAGGATTTCTGTGCTGGGGGGAATGTGTTCTCACTTCATAGAGCCAGGTACAAACTACGCAGACGGGCGCTGTTCTTTGGGAAGAAAACAGGGCCTTTGGGGCTCTTAGTGTCCCCGCTGGGTTGTATACATAACACGCTTACTTTGTGTAGGGGAACGGCTCTCCCAGCGCCCAGGTCCCTAGTGCATATTCATTGAGGCCCGCAGGTCAGAACCGCAGTCTCACCTGTCTTGGCGGAAATGCGCTGCGATCCTTCCTGAAATGTAAGGCAGGAAGTTTTACGAGGAGCCGGGTCCAGTTTCCCTACTATTTCCTGCCGTTTACATATCTCGTCTTTCTTCAGACTTTATTCAAGCGACAGCTTCTTGTTTGATGTCTCGCTTCCACATCCTACATCCATTGCCAGGCAGCTTTCTAGATCGCACTCCCACCCATCCTTCCCGCCCCCAAGCAGCCCTTTCCCATTTCTGGCGCCAGTGTCCTCCCCCTTCCCTCTTCTTCAGGCCCTGGCTTATCACCTTCATGGACAGAAAATACTTAGCTCTCTCTCAACCTGCGGTTTACACCTGACACGCGTTAGTATTGTCTGGGTGAAGGGGAAAAGGACAAGATGGAGGAAGGTGAACAGAAAAGACACAGCCCTTACTACTTCCGGGTTCTTCGTCATCCAACTTACCCGCGCGCGGGAAAATGCAGCCCACGCCCGGGAAAAAAGCAGACCAACTGAGCAGGCGCCACGTGAAGTCAATTTGAGGAAACGGAAACATACTACGGAGACGCCCCTGGCACGCCCTTATCCCACCCACTGCCCGCCCATTTCCAAGCCCAGGACATAAAAGTCGCCGCTGGCAGGCGCCAGCGCGAACTTCCGTAGTCCTATTGCTTGTGGACCGAGGAACCTAGCCCGAGAGCGCCGGCGGGACTTCCGTGTCCCCACTTAGAGGACCGGTGAACCTCGCCCAAGAGCCCTGACTCGTTGGTCAATAAAGTTCTTTCTTTCCTACCACTTGCCTCCAGCGCCTCTTTCCTGACTAAAAGAAATTAAATAAATCAGGTGGTGCCCAAACCCGTGAGGAGACCCCTCCTCAGGGCCCCCCAAGGTCCGAGGAGCCTCCTCCTTCCACGCCTAGGATGGACCAGGACCCAAAGAACCGCTTTCTACCAATCCATTCCTCCAGAATCTCCTGGGGTAAGTGCCCTTTGTCTTTCCCACTCCTTGGCCAAGAAGTCCTGCGCAGGCCCGAGGCCACCCTTAAGGTCACCAGGTGACCCATAGGAAGTCTTCTGAGACAGAGACGTCTGCTCAGAAGTCTCTCCATCCACTTACGGCTCCAGCCGCCGGTCTCTAGTGATTCCAAAGGACGCTTTGGAGTCAGCCAGAGCCCGGTTTCCATTAGCCAAAGAAAGGCAATGGGTAATCCCCAGTCCAAAATTCCGCGAGACACCCCTTTAGGGTGTTTATTAGGCAACCTAAAAACCCTACAATTAGAGCAGGATCTAAAGCGAAAGCGACTAATTTTCCTCTTCACTGTGGCGTGGCCGCAATATAAACTAGACAATCAGTCCCAATGGCCGCCTGAAGGCACCCTAGATCGTAATATTTTAATCGACCTCGGCAATTTTTGCCAGCGCCTAGGCAAGTGGTGTGAAATAAATTATATACAAGGATTTTGGGATTTACGCTCTCGACCAGATTTATGTAGCCAATGCTCCTTGGCCCAAGTCATGTTGGCCAGGGCTGGGGTCCCCGTGGGGTCGGACAAAGAGGAGTCATCCTTCCTGGCCCACCTGCTCCAGGATCTCGGAAACTCCCATTTCAGACCTCCAGCAGCCGCCTCCCCTTCCCTTCCACCCTACACTCCGTCCCCTTCCAATTCCGCCTCTACCCTGGCTCCACCTGCCGCCCCTTCCCCCGCCCCCTCGGCACCTCCCTCTTGCCACCTTGATTCACCCATATCTTCTCACACCCGTTCCAAAGATTGTTCAGGCCCTGCTCCTACCCCCACTCCTACCCCTCAACCCCCTACAGTTCTGGCCCCACTACCGCGAAGTGGCCGGTGCAGAAGGTATAGTCAGTGTCCATGTCCCTTTCTCACTAGCAGATCTTTCCGAGATTGAAAAACGCTTAGGAGACTTCTCTGCCAACCCTACGGTTTATACCAAAGAATTCAGGTACCTGTGCCAGGCCTACGATCTAACCTGGCACAACCTCCATGTCATTCTTACCTCTACTCTAAACCCTGAGGAGCGAGAGCGCATCCTAGTGGCAGCCAGGCAGCATGCAGATCAGTTACACTTAAGGGATGGGGCTGTTCCAGTAGGGGAACAAGCAGTCCCATCTATTGACCCAGAATGGGACTACCAAGTAGGCCAGCCGGGTCCCGAAGGCGAGACATCATGATCCAATGCCTCCTGGCAGGTATGCAGGTGGCCTCAAACAAAATAGTTAATTTTAATAAATTAAAAGAAATTATTCAAGGTCCCGATGAAAATCCAGCCACATTCTTAAATAGGCTAACAGAGGCTTTAACCCAATATACCCCATTAGACCCAGCCTCCCCAGCCGGGGCCGCTATCTTGGCATCTTATTTTATTTCACAGTCGGTCCCAGATATTAGGAAAAAACTCCAAAAAGCCGAAGATGGTCCTCAGACCCCCATCCAAGATTTAGTCAAGCTAGCTTTTAAAGTTTTTAATTCGTGAGAAGAGACAGCTGAGGCCCAGAGACAAAATAGGGCCAAACAGAAGGCAGCCCTCAATGCCCAAGCACTAGTGGCAGCCCTGCAACCTAATCTCAATCCCAGGCCAGGAGGTAAGCCTACTAAGGCAACAAAGGGGGCCTGTTCTAAGTGCAGCACCCCAGGTCATTGGGCTGACAAATGCCCACAGGCCCAACCTTCAGGTCCAACACAACCGTGTTTTAAGTGTGGCAAACATGGACATTGGGCAAGTCATTGTCCCAATCCTCGCCCGCCATCCACACCCTGCCCGGTTTGCCAAGAAGAAGGGCATTGGAAGTCAGATTGCCCCACCCTGAAAATGGGCATAGCGTCTCAACGTGATGTCCCTTCTCAGGACCCTGGGAGCTCCTTCCAGCTCTTACACCTAGACGATGACTGAAGGCGGCTGGACTCGGGGACCCCCATCACCCTCGCCGAGCTTCGGGTAACTCTTCAGGTAGCGGGTAAGCCAGTTTCTTTTCTTGTGGATATGGAGGCTACCTACTCTGTTTTGCCATCATTTAGTGGACCTAGTCACCCATCTCACATTTCAGTTATAGGAGTTGGAGGCACTCCGTCTAGTCCTCTTAGAACACCACCTCTTAATTGCTGCCTGGCCAATAACTATTTTGCACACTCATTCCTCCTCATCCCCTCATGCCCCACTCCTCTACTAGGCTGAGATATCCTAAGCCAACTGAAAGCCTGTATCTCTCTTCCTACTAGCTTCCCCCACCCCGCCTGCCATCTACTTCTAGTATTAACTAACTCAAATGACTCCAACAACCCTACTAACCCTTTCCCTAATTTCCCCATTCCTATAGACCCCAAAGTGTGGGACACCTCCACTCCTGTCGTGGCGGACCATCATTCACCAATACTCATAAAACTTAAAAACCCGGGTTTCCAACCCGCCCACAGTTCTCTCTCTCTCCACAACACTTATGAGGACTAAAACCAATCATTACTAGGTTACTCAGCCAACACATCCTCATCCCCACTCATTCCCCCTGTAACACCCCAATCCTACCTGTAAAGAAGGCAGATGGGACTTTTCGGTTAGTGCAAGATCTTCGTCTTATCAGTGAGGCTGTTTGCCCCACCCATCCAGTAGTTCCCAATCCCTATACCCTTCTCTCTCTTATCCCATCTAACACAACACACTTTACTGTGCTAGATCTAAAAGATGCATTTTTCTCTATTCCCTTACACCCAGATTGTCAGTTTCTCTTTGCCTTTACATGGGAAGACCCAGACACCCATGCCTCCACCCAATTGACATGGACAGTGCTTCCCCAAGGGTTCCGAGATAGCCCCCATTTCTTTGGGCAAGCCCTTGCAAAAGACTTGGCCTCCTGTCCTCTTACAAATAGTAAAATTCTCCAATATGTAGATGACCGTTTACTCTGTAGTCCCACGAGACAGGACTCTCTTTAGGACACTGCAATCCTCCTTAATCATCTAGGATCCAAAGGTTACCGAGTATCCAAATACAAAGCTCAACTCTCACAACAATGTGTCATATATTTAGGCATTGAAATCACTCCCACAACGCGCTTGCTCACCACAGACCGTTTAACTCTAATACAAAATCTTTCTCCTCCCCAACACGCTAAAGAAATCCAATCCTTCCTAGGCCTAGTAGGGTTTTTCAGACACTGGATTCCTAATTTCGGAATCTTGGCTAAACCTCTATATGCAGCTGTCAAGGAGACTCCCCAAGGACCTTTGTCTAACCCAAAGTTAATCTATAAACATTTCACTCACCTAAAAAACTGCCTTCTCTCACATCCTACTCTCTCACTCCCAGACTTCCAACGCCCCTTCCAGCTTTTCACAGATGAAAGACAAAAAGTTGCCATTGGCCTTTTAGCCAACCTATAGGCACCACATACCATCCTGTGGCATATTTATCCAAACAATTAGATCCCACTGTACAAGGGTGGCAGCCCTGCCTTCAGGCCCTAGCAGCAGCAGCCTGTCTAACCCAGGAAGCAAAGAAACTCATCAGAGGCTGCAGCCTGACAGTCTTCCCTACCCACCGCCTTCAAGACCTTATTGCCCACAAAAGTATCAGCCACCTAACCCCGTCCAGGCTCCAACTTTTCCACCTCTTGTTCATAGAAGACTCTACCATTGTCCTAGGAGTCTGCTCCTCTCTAAACCCAGCAACCTTACTCCCCAACCCTCTCAAACAACCCCATACTGAACACTCCTGTCCAGAACTTTTAGAGGCCCAACCACCTAGTCACTTGCATTTACATGACCAACCCTTGGAGAGCCCACAATTAACCCTATTTGTGGATGGCAGTTCCTTTATAAATTCTCAAGGAAACAGGCAGGCAGGATACGCGGTAGTTACATCATCCACTGTCCTAGAAGCTAAGCCTTTACCACAAGGAACAACATCACAGCAGGCGGAGCTTATCACACTAACTAGGGCTCCCCTCCTATCTAGAGGAAAAACAGTAAACATATACACAGATTCTAAGTATGTCTTCTGAATTGCACACACCCATTCTGTCATCTGGAAAGAAAGAGGGTTCCTAACCACCTGTGGTACCCCCATAATCAACAAAAAGCAGATAAACTGCTAGATGCTTTATCAGCACCTTCCAAAGCAGCCATCATACACTGTAAAGGTCATCAGACTCCATCTAACCCGGTGGCAGCTGGCAACAATTTTGCTGACACCACTGCCAAATCCGCTGCCGGATTCTCCACCCCTACACTTCCTTCTGTTTGTTTTCTTTCTCCCCAACATATCCCTAATTACACCCAGGAAGAAAAAACCAAAGAATTACAAGACTCAACAGCCAGACTAGCCACAGACAATTGGATTTACATCAATAATAAATTAGTTATTCCTAAAACACAACTCCACACCGTCTTAAGAGACATACATAATTCCTTACACATAGGACCCAGAGCTCTATATAACCTTCTAAGCCCCCTTATCCACTGCCCTACACTCATGAAACACCTAATTATAATCAACCAACAGTGCGTCACATGCCTCAAGTCAAATCCTCAAGGCGCATTATGCAACTCCCACCCAAGTCACCAACTCAGAAGACACCAACCAGGCGAAGATTGGCAAATTGATTTTACCCACATGCCAAAACATAAAAAATTCAAATATCTCTTAACCCTTGTTGATACCTTTTCAGGATGGATAGAGGCCTATCCTACCACAGGAGAGACTGCCAATATAGTTGCCTCCATACTCACTGAACACATTATTCCTAGGTTCGGCCTCCCACTCACCCTCCAGTCTGACAATGGCCCAGCCTTCATCTCCAAGGTAGTCCAACAGGTGGCAGCCCTCCTACACATCACCTGGAAACTCCACATCCCTTATAGACCCCAGTCCTCTGGTAAAGTAGAAAAAGCCAACGGACTAATCAAACAACAATTCATCAAACTCTCACTTGAGACTCGACAGTCTTGGGTAACCCTCCTGCCTCTCGCCTTAACCTGGCTGCGGGCCGCCCCGCGAAGTCCAACAGGCCTCAGTCCATTCAAACTAGTTTATGGCCGACCCCTCACCTTAGAACAGCTGCCTACCCTTTCCTCTCCACTGGCAAATTACCTTCCATACTTAACTCTTTTGAGACAACTACTAAGACAGCATGCAGAACTAGCACACCTGCCTCCGACAGGCACTTATAATCCACACACCTTTCTCAGCCCAGGTGATCAAGTATACTTAAAGAACATCCAGGCCAAAGACCTCCAGCCCAGGTGGAAAGGCCCATATACTGTCCTCCTATCCACACACACAGCAGCCAAGTTATTAGGCCTCACACACTGGGTCCACATATCACAACTAAAGAGGGCCCCTGCAGAAAGCGACAAGTGGGAATCAACTAAACTCACCCCCACCCGCCTCAGGCTCACCAAACTTCCCTAATTAACACATGTTTCCAGGCCTTTTATGACTGTCCCGATTCCTCACCATACTGTACACAAATCTGGCAGAGTTTCAACACATCACCCCAGATCTCTATTTGCCCCCAGACCCCAGCCCAACACAGTGGTTCTCTCGCCTACTCACATTTGTAGAACACCTCCAATGGCAAGGCGCATTCTACGCTTACTCAGAAGATGAAGTTTTCTTACTCACTTTTATTACTATCCTTCTTCTACATTCCAACGGCAATTACTAACCCAACCTTTATATGGAGATTCTCCATAACTGAAACTTGGTCCTTCAACAACAAGCAACATACAGTTCTGCAAGGCACTGCAGACTGCTCACAAAGAACATCCAGGCCAAAGACCTCCAGCCCAGGTGGAGCGCCCACATACGTCCTCCTATCCTTACACACACAGCAGCCAAGTTATTAGGCCTCACACACTGGGTCCACATATCAACCAAAGAGGGCCCCCTGCAGAGTTTAAGGGAATCAACTCACCCCCACCCGCCTCAGGCTCACCAAACTTCCCCACCAAACAACACAAGCCTGCGCCTTTACACTGTCCTTGACTCACCATACGTACACAAATCTGGAAAAGAGTTTCAAATACATATCACCCAGATCTCTCATTTGCCCTGCACTCAGGCTCAACACAGGTTCTCTCTACTACTCACATTTGCAGAACACCCAAATGCGTACTTTACGCTACTCAGAAGCATTGAGTTTATCAATTTTACACTATCCTTCTACATTCAAATAAACATAATAACTTTATATGGTTTCATAACTGAAACTTGTCACAACACAGTCTTTGGACAAATCAAGACCTGTCCAAACTCACCACCCACCCCGCCCACGCAACCCGTTTCTACATGATACACAGAATACAATTATGTAATACAGTAAATTACCTAAGTTTAGAGGTTATTAAATATACTATTTTACGTTAGATATATATGAGCAGTCAAACTTTGGAAAGACAAGATATGAACAACTTATCATTGCTGTAGTCTCAAATATCAGGAAATACCATTATTCTCAGGACAATAATTAGACAATAAAAGAGACTCACAGAGCAGATTAGCTGTCCGGACAGGGACTGAATCCTTATCAACACGACCCAACAGAGATTGTCCCCAGAAATTCACTTCATAACATCAAAACCAAAAACCCACACTGATGGCAAAAAAATGATGCAAAAATGAGAAACAGAGAGAGAGAGAGACACCTGCCGTATAGCCATACTTAGTGGGTAAAAGCTAAAGAGCTCAATTTCTGCTCACGATACTTAATAGAACATAGGGAACATGAGCCAGTAGCTTAATGGGCTCAGATCTGCACCAAGTGCCTGTTGGATGCAGGATTCTACTGTCTCCAATAATATGTCTCAGATGGATTAATTTTTCTTTTCTTTTCTTTTTTTTTTTTTTTGAGACAGAGTCTCGCTCTGTCGCCCAGGCTGGGGTGCAACGGCGCGATCTTGGCTAACTGCAACCTCCGCCTCCCGGGTTCACACACACCACCACGCCAGGCTTTTTTTTTTTTTTTTTTTTTTTTATTTTTTTTGTAGAGGGGGTCTTTAGCCATGTTGGTCAGTCTGGTCTGGAACTCCTGACCTCAGTTGATCAGAAGTAGGTGAGGTCAGAAAACATACCCTAGGAGAGGCTGGCACAATGCCCAGAACCGCCATCGCTAGGCCTGGGGTTTTCTTCTGTAGTGAATACTAGTATTCATGTAGTGCAGGAACAAACCAATTAGATACTTCTGGGAGTTAAAAAGAGATGAATTTACAGTGCCATTTGAGAAGGGGTATTAAGGAATTTGCCAGGGTACTTGATTTAGTTTCTTTTAGTCAGGAAAGAGGCGCTGGAGGCAAGTGGTAGGAAAGAAAGAACTTTATTGACCAACGGGTCAGGGTTCTTGGGCGAGGTCCACAAGCAATGGGACCGGGTAAGTTCGCGCTGGCGCCTGCTGGCAGCGACGTTTATGTCCTGGGCTTGGAAATGGGAGGGCAGTGGGTGGGATAAGGGCATGCCAGGGGCTTCTCCGTAGTAAGTTTCCGTTTCCTCAAATTGATGTCTGGTGGCGCCTGCTCAGTTGGTCTGCTTTTTTCCCTGCCGGCCGCATTTTCAGGCCCGCGGGTAAGTTGGATGGTGAAGAACCCGGAAGTAGTTAAGGGCTGCCTCTTTTCTGTTCACCTTCCTCCATCTTGTCCTTTTCCCCTTCACCCAGACAGTCCAACCTCTTATTGATTATAAGAATTTGGGGCACCGTTGTCTGTCTGGCTGCTTCCTGCTGTTAAGGGGCGTAGTTAGGGTCTGAGGTTGGCAGTTGGGTGTAGGGATGCAGGAGCATTTGACTGAAGGTGACTCAGGTGATTTCTTGGATCCTGGCTCGGAGAAATTTTATTAGAATAGGAGCAAGACATAACATAAGACAGAGGATTAGTATGGGGATTAGGAATGGAAGCATCTGCTGTACTACAGGTAGCAGCCATACTGGTGGTCCGGGGGTTAAGGGGGCGTTAAATTTCTGGAGCTCCTTTTTGATTTTGTTTAATGTTTGGACATTGGTGTCAACTAGACCTGATTCATTTATGTAGTAGCAACACTCCTCCCCTAGGAAGAGGCATGTTCCTCCTTCTTCAGCTGTAAGAAGATCTAATGCCCGCCTATTTTGTGCTGCCACCTGAGCTATTGATGTCATTTGGTGCTGCAAGGAGGCCAGGCTTTCGGCTGAAGCCTCTATGGCTTCCTGGACCTGGGTAGAGAGGGTCCACGTTGACTGGACTGGGTGGGCAAGCGCCCCTGTCCCTAGTCTGGAGGCTATTAAGGAGGATGCTAAAGAAACCCCAATGACCATGGGAAGAAAAATAGCCCGCTTTTGGATTTTTTTGTTGGAGGTGGTAAGTTGTGAAGTCAGTTTGAATACTTCTCCTTTGGTATATAGGGTTAGGCTAGGAACTAAAGACACGGGGATGCAAAGGAATTGGCTGATGGATATATGGTTAAGAATTTTAGAGAGGGTTTGATTACACCAAAAGTAACCTCCAACGGGAGCTGTCTGGGTCCTATTGGGCGATTGGGTGTAATTACACCAGGAGGAGTTTGGGGCAGAGTAGTAGAAAGGAAGGATTGGATTTTCTGGGTTTTGGTATAGTGGGACTTGGAGTAGGGACGGTTTTTGGGGGGTGCCGGTAGAGTCAGTTGTAGCCCTGAAAGCAGTGGGTGAGGGAACTGCCACTAAGGGGGCTCTTTCAAGAGCCGCACAGAGGAAGCAGTGGGAAAGACTTGTTATGTTAGCTGTTTGTGTTAGGTTTAGCCCTTGACGGACAAGTTTTAACCATGAGAATGGATCTTTTTTATTAGGGGGATTTAACTGCTCTTGTAGGTTTTGTTCCTGTGACTTTATGACTGAGGTTAAATTTTGTAGGACTTGTATATTTTTGGGGAGGGATTTTTGCTGGACAAGTGTCCTTTTTATTAGGAGGGTGGCAGTGGGATATGAGTCCCAAACGCCGTCTCTGTAAAGTCCCCCTTTTACTCCGTCTGCCCATCGGGAGTTCCAGGGGTCTTTTATGTTTAGATGATATTTAAGGGGGTCACTTCTTCCATCGTAAGTGAAGAGATATTTGCTGCTTAACTTTCTGTCATGTGTATTATCTAGCATTGAATGGTGTATTTTACAATATTTATATGGGCAACCCAGATTGGTTTGCTGCCAATAGTTTTTATAATTGTATTCTGTCTGCTCATGTAGGAAACAGATGGATGGTTGAGCCCATCTATCAGCAACAGAAGTTAGGGAGAAATTTATGGAAAGAGCAGATTGACAGCCTTGAGGTGAGCAGTCTGCAGAACTAAAGACACGGGATGCAAAGGATCTGGCTGATGGATATATGGTTAAGAATTTTAGAGAGGGCTTGATTACACTAAAAGTAACTCTCCAACGGAGCTGTCTGGGTCCTATTGGGCGATTGGGTGTAATTACACCAGGAGGAGTTTGGGGCAGAGTAGTAGAAAGGAAGGATTGGATTTTCTGGGTTTTGCATAGTGGGACTTGGAGTAGGGACGGTTTTTGGGGCATGAGAGTCAAAGCAGCCCTGAAAGCAGTGGTGAGGGAACTGCCACTGGCGGGGGCTCTCTTTTCAAGAGCCGCACAGAGGAAGCAGGGAAAGACTTGTTATGTTAGCTGTTTGTGTTAGGTTTAGCCCTTGACGGACAAGTTTTAACCATGAGAATGGATCTTTTTATTAGGGATTTAACTGCTCTTGTAGGTTTTGTTCCTGTGACTTTATGACTGGAGGTTAAACCCTTTGTAGGACTTGTATATTTTGGGAGGGATTTTTGCTGACAAGTGTCCTTTTTATTAGGAGGGCAGGGATATGAGTCCCAAACGCTCGTCTCTGTAAAGTCCCCTTTTACTCCGTCTGCCCATCGGGAGTTCCAGGGTCTTTTATGTTTAGATGATATTTAAGGGTCACTTCTTCCATCGTAAGTGAAGAGATATTTGCTGCTTAACTTTCTGTCATGTGTATTATCTAGCATTGAATGGTGTATTTTACAATATTTATATGGGCAACCCAGATTGGTTTGCTGCCAATAGTTTTTATAATTGTATTCTGTCTGCTCATGTAGGAAACAGATGGATGGTTGAGCCCATCTATCAGCAACAGGCTAGGGAGAAATTTATGGGAAAGAGCAGATTGACAGCCTTGAGGGGTGAGCAGTCTGCAGTGCCTTGCAGAACTGTATGTTGCTTGTTGTTGAAGGACCAAGTTTCAGTTATGGAGAATCTCCATATAAAGGTTGGGTTGAAAATTGCTGTTGGAATGTAGAAGAAGGATAGTAATAAAAGTGAGTAAGAAAACTTCATCTTCTGAGTAAGCGTAGAATGCTTTGCCATTGGAGGTGTTCTCACAAAATGTGAGTAGGCGAGAGAACCACTGTGTTGGGCTGGGGTCTGGGGGCAAATAGAGATCTGGGGTGATGTTGAAACTTCAGATTTCCAGTACAGTATGGTGAGGAATCGACAGTCATAAAAGGCCTGAAACATGTGTGTTAATTAGGGAAGTTTGTGAGCTCTGAGGCGGGTGGGGGTGAGTTTAGTTGATTCCCACTTTGTCGTTTTCTGCAGGCCCCTTAGTTGTGATATGTGGACCCAGTGTGTGAGGCCTAATAACTTGGCTGCTGTGTGTGTGGATAGGAGGACAGAGCATGGGCCTTTCCACCTGGGCTGGAGTGTCTTTGGCCTGGATACCTCTTAAGTATACTTGATCACCTGGGCTGAGAAAGGTGTGTGGATTATAAGTGCCTGGGTTTGAGGCAGTGTGTGC